TATAGAGCTGAGGCTCTCAACAATCAAATTTGAGCCTACCTCAAAAATTTCATTAGAAGAGGTTGTTTTGATGCCCACATGTCTTCAAATTTATCATCTCGACATCAAGATGCATGGACAAGAGAAAAAAGAGGATTTCGAGTTTTGGAAATAGCGCATTTTGTAACGCATTTTTTTACCGTCAATTTTCAAGATTTTCAAGTATTCATAGATCTATCGATTTACACTATTTTTGAAGCTTTAAACTTTATAAATAAATATGAAAATATATTTTAAGGCTATCACAAAGATTTCCAGTAGTGAAACCACATTTCTCGACATATTTGAAGGTAGGTTCTAATTTGATTGTTTAGAGCCTAGGCTCTATACAAACCGCACCCATAATATATATATATATATGTGTGTGTGTGTGTGTGTGTGTGTGCACGTGTGTGTAGATGTTTGAGAGAGATATGTTTTTCCGGAACAAAATCCAAGAAATCTGCAAAGATATTAACATGAAAAGAAATTTGAAAGACTCTCCCATAAACCATCAATTCAGATTTAGTCTTTTCAGAAAATATGTAGGCTTTCTCTTGTCTGAGGATATACCAGAGTGAGGGGCATAAGTGTCAATCCAGGAAACTGGGGGCACTCTAGATATTCTGAATATATCTAGGGACATGCAGTCCCATTTTCCAAGGATAACAAAGGGATCCCTTTGATAATTGATCTTTTCTTTTCTTTTTCTCCACTGCTCAGTGCACTAGTATCAGCTATTTTTTTATAGCTCTCCACAAAGATGACTTTGAGAAGGAAAGGTACCAAGTTTTTCTCATACAAAGCCCCAGGTTCCCATAATGGTGCTTAATCAAGCATTAGAAATGACAATCTGAGAAAAAAGTCCAAAGTAAAAGCAAAAGGTATCCAAGAATTTCTGCAACAGAATTATGAGGCTAAGGCTAACTTTAAAAAAGAAAATGAACACAAGCAACTGTCTACAGAAAAGTAAAGTAATGGATTTCCAAACACTGGATTTCCTTTAATAGTTTTCTCCTTTTCATTTTCTCAATAGAGATAAAAGAAAGAAAGGTTGCCATGAAAACATAGAGTTCTCTCTTAGCAACAGTAGAAACCGTTGAGCTGATATTGATCAACTTTTTGAAATTATTTCATTTTAAAGTTGAACAATCAATGAGGGAGTACAGTGTGTCTTTGACCTTTAATGTAGGGCCACTACTTTATTAAAAAAAAAAAAGCAGATGCTTTAAAAAATTGGGGTGTTTTCCTTCTTTCAAGGGGAAAAATGATGTTCCTTCATTTTGAAATGATATTTGGTCCCATATTGATGATCTCCCTTGAAACCCACCGAAAAAACATGAGCAAGGAGGAATTGCCGAAGTGTTAAAGAGAAATATGGTCCCTTTTCTTCAAAATGAAGGCCCATGTCATCTCTGAGAGAAAAAGAAAGAGATGAAGGGCTCGTATATATTTCTGTTACATGTAGGGTTTCTCGGAAAAACCGATTACCTCATCTCTCACATAGTATGTGTTCTCTTTGCAAAATCTCATGGTCTTATATTTTGACTTCATGGCAAATTACAGAATTTCTTTCAAAATACCATTGCTCCAATCTTATTTTTGGTTCAATAAAATCTCCCATTTCAGTGAAGAATAAACTGAAATAGCTCCAATCTTATTTTCGGTTCGATAAAATCTCCCATTTCAGTGAAGAATAAACTGAAATAGCTCCAATCTTATTTTTGGTTCAATAAAATCTCCAATTTCAGTGAAGAATAAACTGAAATACATAGTTTTTTTATTTGTTTGAAACAAGCAACCTGTTTGCAAACATGTCAATTTGTTTGAAGAAAATACGGATTTACCACATGCAATTGCAGAAGATTTAGATTTCGAACTTACCACAGGCAAAATCAGCCTCCTATTTAGTCATTTGCAATATCTTTGTTGAAAGTTCTCCAGGAAATACACAGTTTGTTTGAAACTCTGGCATCACAGAGCTGTAGTCAAGCCCTGCAACTTGTAATTAAATCATTATCAGAAGCAAAAGTAGCCCAAAAGCATTAATTTAAAATATGAATAAAAGATTACCTACTCAATAAGGATGGGAATAAGTAAACACCAATGCTTCCAGAGGGAAGGTATCAACCAAAGACAGGCTTATTATAATGTAGCAATTCCAGACAACCGCTTGCAGATTTTCAACAGGACATGAGGCATGTTTAGAAGAATAGGGAGGAGTAGATGTTAAGTGGAATCTTTTGCTTGTTGGTTCCTTTGCTGGGAACAATGGCCATTCCACAAAACATTCTAACTTTCATTAATTTAAGGCATTATTTTGCTTGGTCTGTGTGTGTGTGCGTGTGCGTGTGCGTGTGTGTGCTTGCGCGTGTGTGTGTTTGCGTGTGTGTGTGAGAGAGAGAATGAGAGAGAGAGAATCAGTCACTTTATTAATCTGAGGCAATTTTTTGCTTACCCAGTATGAAAGAGAGAGAGGTAATCTATCAAAAACCATTGCTTAAAGATCTGCAATTTAGATAAATTACACAGTAAATTTAAAAACATAAGGCCCTGGCTGTTTTTCCATAATGGTTCTATAACTGTTTCTTTTTTTTGGTCAACCAGTCACTACTGACTGAGGAAGCCATTTTTTTTCTTTGATGACCCATCCAGTCCAGATAAAATGGTCATGAAACCTGCTCCCGGGACAAATCAAACTGATATTTCCAAAATCATCACTCAGAAATCTTGCTTTAAATTACAATATCCTAATATATGGGCCGAAAGCTAAATTGCATTTTGATTCAAAACCTTGTTTTGGAGAGATAAGCAAACACTTCGCATATAAAATTAGAAACATAATGATACAAAGACTTTAAACAACAAGAAAAATAAAATTCTATTTCAGATCCCCAAAACTGTGTCCCTATTAACATAACATTTCAGTTTAAAAGGAAAGATCCGTAAGTTAAAAACGTAAATCTATAGGGTAAATGTGCCATTTAAACCTAGTTCAAAAGGAACTATGGCATGAGTCTTCAGTAGAAAAAAGCAGTTGAAAAGCTTCAAGCATTTGGAGCTCAAGAACCTAAACAAACATTTAAGCATGAGAACAGAAGCTGTTAAATTTTTCAAGAAGGTATTTGAATCAAAATCACTTTCTTGGAAATATGTGCCATAATTTTGCATTTATACACTGATTTAAAGCCAATCCCGGGGAAACCTCAATGAAATCTGCAATCTATAATAATTTGAGGGCAAGACCAGGAAAACTTTCAGCAGACCATTATAGCTTCTATATTTTAGACCTTAATTTGAGTTCAATACTGAGGAAAGGCTCCAGTATACACAGTAAATCTGAATTTAAGACCTAATTTGAGCGCAATACTAATGGTAAACATCAATGCATCATACCCAACACAAATGCAAACCAAGAAACTAACTGATAAAAAACACAATAGCTCCCAATTTGCTATGCACATTTGAAAACTTAATTAGAGGAAATTACAGAGCAAAAGCTTTAATTAAGAGCTCAAAGAGCTTGAGATTTTTATGCATCAGAAGCATCAACACAATCAGTTGTTAAAATTAAGTGACAAATCTCCCTCAAGGAAAACCATCATTCAAGTTAAACATATGCAATTAGAAGGTTCAGACTCCAAGTGCATTCTAGTGAACCACAATTTTAATTCCTGAATGAAAGTCAAAGACATCACTGAAATATTAAAGATTAACACTACAATAATCAAATCACTCATCTACTAAACACCAGAAGACTCAAACCATAGTACCTTCTAAGTATTTCCCCTAAACTGCTAACTCGGACAAAAAAAGGGGCTGATAAGAGCTCTTGGGTTAACGCTCAAGTTGGCAGTAAAAAATATCATTGTTCCATGGGAAATCAGTATTCTAGGCCATGTATCAGAGCCAGAGGACGATAGAGCTAAAACGCCTGGGAAATAACACAATAACATCTAGAGCTAGACCTAAATAATACAGCTTAGCGAAACACAGAGCTTCAAAAATTGCCAGATTTTCATCAAAAAAAAATTGCCAGATTGTAGAGGGCATGAACCATGGCAAAACTATTCAGGACTGATACAAACAAATCCCAGGATTACCTCTGACAACCAGAAAACACAGATATCTTGATATCTCCAATGCCGTTTACAACTGAATCTTCAGATTTCATATCAGGAACCGCCGTTAAAGCTCCAAATGACAGTCTAACTCTGGATTCAAACAAATAATATTTAAGATTAAATACCGTACAAGAGATTCTACTTACTAATTCCGAAACTAGCTCACCAGTAAATACTCCAATCTGGAGAACCAGTAAATACTCCAATCTGGAGAACCAGTAAATACTCCAATCTAGAGAACCAGTAAATACTCCAATCTGGAGAATTTTACCTTCACTTCCCGGTAATATTCAGTTGCAGCAGCAGGATCCACCATCACAGCTCCATTTTCACACAAAACCCCTGCATTACAAAGTACGTCACTAAAAAACCACACTGAACCCCTTGTTCACAGTATTTATCCATATGCCACTAATCTCCATCAAAATGGTGCTTCACAAGGTGGAAAGGAAGCTAAGAAACAGCTAGAAAACCAGATTTTAACATACAGTAAATACCAGAAACACAAACCCTGAAAACTTCAAGAAGTCAGAGCTTTCCTCTGAAATAATGCGAGCTAAAGTAGCTAAAAAAACAATGGAAAAGCATCATATGTATGAAGTTTGGGATCTGGAGGTTTACCCTTAGCGGACGTAAATGGATGCTATTAAAAATAGTTAATTTCTACGGTATTTTGGTCTGAAATCCGCCATTAGAGCTCCAAACGAACCCGCATTTTAGAGAGAGAAATAAAGCATTTGGGAGAGAGATTAATGCTTTCTCTGAGAGTGCAAGCTTCAAATGCCTTTTCGGAGTAACAGTGGATGTAACCATTACCGCTATTTTCGCCTTTGCCCTAAAATATAGCGCTTTTCAGTATATGACTCTTATGCCCCTAGATGTTCTAGGATTTATCAAGGATGGCCTTCTTTTGTCCTTTTTATCTGGAAATTGTTATTTACAGTTTCGCCCTTAAAAAAATTGAGCATTTCTTTTGTAAGTGCCCTAAATGTATCGTATTATCAATTTGCCCTTATTTTCTAAATGACTAATATGCCCCTCGGATGGCACTTTACTTTACTTCTTTGAAAAATAAATATTATACTTACGAGGTGTGAATTTTATAACCTCGCAACCTTAAACCATCCAAATAAGGTCCACCTCGAAATTTTATCATTACATGTAATTTTGGTGTAAAAAATTATGAGGATTATCTGAAAATCTTTCATATCAAATTATAAATTTTTGAATGGTTAAAATCAAGTAGATCTATAAATATATAAAAAATCTTGAAAATAGACGGTCTACATAATTTGTTGCAAGGTGCGCTATTTTTGAGACTCAATATTTTTTCTTTTTTTATATTTATAATTTTAATCTCGAGATGAACAATAAGAGAGTTTTTAAAATTAAAACAACCTTTTCCGATGGATTTTTTAAGTGTATCATTGATTCTACATTTTAAAGTTGCAACCTTATATAAACTTTTTCCTTATGTATAGAAAAAGTTTAGGATAATTTCTATGAGTCGGCCAACTCATCTATTCAAATAAGTCCTCTCTCCAAAATCTATTTTAGGGATAGATTTTGCATTCAAAATTTTAGATAATGAAAATCTCTGCCATGATGTGTGGGAATCTAGAAAATGATAAATTAAAATTAAAAAAAAAAAAAATATTCAATTTTGACACATTCCGTTTCAAATTTTTTGGGGGACCCTTTTTTAACATCCACCTACAAGATGGATGTTTAGTGTGTGAGGGGATGCCATGTAGAAGGTGTCTCCTTATGCACTTCCTACTTTTCCAAAAGTTCATAAAAGGGGAACCTTATATTGTATAAGTACGATACACTATGAAAATCCACTTGAAAAAGTTGCTCCAACTCTAGTAAACATTGTGTTTGATTATTTCAACCTCAAGATGTATGGATATGGATAAAATAATGAGATATTTCAAATCACAAAAGTAATACTCGCATTATCTTAACCATCTATTTTAAAGATTTTATAGTATTTATAGGCTACTTGATCTACCTAAAATTTGGTGTTTTATTGCCATCAGCATGACGTTGTTTTAAGGCCACAACTTTATAGAGGTGCACCTCAAAACCTTGTTTGGAAACAAAATAGCATGATAACTTTGCAAAGTATTTGTCCCTTGCTATAGAATTTGGAGCTCTAAAAATAATGAAGCTTTGACCATATTATGAACATTAAGATAATGAAGTTTTTGGCTGGTTTACAAAAAAATTGAAATTGACTATTTTATGAACATTTAGGGAAAAAACAGCAAAATAGATCATTTTACTTTTTCATATTTATGTTTGCCGAGGTGAAAATGCATTTTTCATATCAAATTTGGTAAGGGTGACAATGAGATGAGCCAGAGCGGGCCAGCCCAATCCTTGTTCCCATAGGTTCAGGGTTGGGCCATGCCAAGCCAAGCCAAGCCAAGCTAGGTCAAAAACAAATTAAAAAAAAAAAAAGAAAAAATGGTCGGGGTGGGACAACATTGGCCCTTGAACCGCAGTTTGTGGCCCAAGCCCTACTTTTTTAGTGGCAAATCGACCGCCCCGCCCGGCCCATTCCCAGCCCTTGAATTTGGGGCACAGCTTTGGGAATACTTTTGTTCTTCAAATTAACTATTTATGCGCTTTATGTCCTGGGATGGACCTTTTGACATGGGTTTTGTGGGGATCTTAGCATTGACCTGTGAAGCTTGAAGTACGGCTTACAGCATAATCCAAAGGAACGGAAAACCTTAGCATCATCAATGTCAATGAGCATGAAAAGCATAATCTAGTGGGAGCACACTGTACACTTCATGAGATTTTCTTGATTGACATTGTGATGCACTTTCAAATCACGGAATAAAAAAGTAAAAAAAATTCTGGGTTCCACAATTAGGACTTGGCTGTCTAAAAAATATATATTTATTATTATTATTATTATTATTTTAGGTAATTCAGTAAAGAATATAAGCTCCTCTTACCTATTTATGAAAGGTGTCAATGGGTGGTGTTAATCAGACTGAAAATTACAACGTGGTAACTCGGTATGAGGGTGTTACCACCACAACCCATATTGGGTATTATTTTTGTTTTTAGGCACTGAGCTCAAAAGACTAAATCCCGAATTTGGTGGACCCAAAAATAGTCTTAGCTAAAGTGTTACCCAAGGGAGTAAAATTTGAGGACTACGATTTTCTTGCACTTTGGAATCTACTTTTTTGGAAGTCAACACCTAGGTTTAACCAATGACTAATGACTAAGGAAAGGAAGGTTTGGAATTTGGATCCCCCACTTACCGAAAACAAAGAAAAAGGAAACTTGACATGCTACAATGCTACTCCCCCATTGATGATCACATTGAAAATACCGAGGCTCAAATCTCTATGGAAAAGGTTGTTCTAGTGACGGAATACTGGATTATTCAGTTCCAAGTGTTCACAAATCTTTCAAATCTATACAAAAAAATTTTGTCTTGAAATTTCATGATCAAGGATAAAAATAGAATTTCAGGCCACTAGAAGAGTTTCTGTAGGCAAAATTGCTTTTCTAATGTGTTTTCTAGATGCAATTTTACTTTTTATTGTAAAATTGCGGCCTTGCAAATTGCACCCATCAGAAAAGCTAAAATAAACAATATGCCCTTCAAATATTCAAAATAGCTAAAATGGGTGAAGTTTAGGGTTTAAAAACAATAAGATCCATACATGGTTGTTCTCACTTTTAAAGGAATGGTTTGGAATTCCATTGACTTTGGGGCTCATTTAACTAAGTTTAAAAATGAATGAATTCTATGTCACTTTACTAAAACTTTGGTTCCCTTTCTTAGCAATCAAACCAGAGAAGTGGCCCCTAACGGCGTAAAAATTGGTTCTCCAATGATTAGACACAAAGAACAAAAGCTTGAATTTGAATTTTGAAGGGTGAACTAAAGTTGGAAAAAAAAAAAGAGTCATTTTAAGATGCCATTTTTTTGGTTGACTATTTACATCATGAATTGAAATGCTTCTGTTCCTCTTCAAAGGACAAGTGTTTGGTGAGTCGGCCAACTCACATGTTGATGTGCAGTCCCCTTCAAAATTCACCGTGAAGATGGATTTTTTATCCAAAATTTTGAGGTTCGTCAATCTTAACCAGGATGATGATAATGAAACTAGAATATTTTTTTAAATAGAATTGATAGTTTTTTATAATGTCTTTTTCTACCTTCCATTTTAACCTTTTTTTTGACATCTATCTTAGAGATGGACGTCTAATGCATAAGAGGACGCATATGTTTTGGTGAGTTGGCTGACTCGCCAAAGCTGGGTCCGACAACTAATCCCTATATACATATACGTGTCTACATCTTTTTTTTGCACTATGTTTTTTAAATGGTAAATTGTTGCTCACAAACTTTCATCCTAAAGATGGACGTAAAAGTGTACTGCCTATAAACAAAATGTGAACGGTGCAAAAAAAAAAAACGAAAATAATATATTTTAAAATTTAAAAGTTTATTTTTCATTTCATATTCATGGTCCTCAATGACGAATCTACAAAACAATTAAATAAAAAATCCACCTTTAAAATGGATTTTAGAGGGAGATGACATTTATAGATATGAGTTGGCCGACTCATAGAAACCCCATCCTTTTAAAATTCACATTTTTAATACAATGATTTTCTGGAATTCTGTGTTCTTTCATAACCAAAGTGAAATAATGTAGACTTTTTTATTTGGGAAAGGTTTTTATGTTTTTCTTACAATATAGAAGTTCGATCCTCCTCTTACCGTCTAGCCATCCAATTTCAATCAAGAGAATCACTCACCGTTTGATCTTAGATCCCACGTCTCAAAATATTTTATTTTTAGTTTTTTTTATACAAATTGTATGAATATGAAATTTGGTACGTGCCATCTTCTCATTGGGGCGCACCTATAAAAATTTAAAAATAATTTTTCGGTAAAATATAATGATCAAAATATCCTGTGAAACTTTCAAGGGTATTTTGATCGTCTTATTTTATTGAAACTATTTTTTTTATATTTTTCACTAGTGCAAGTTTAATAGAGGAATGGACATCCAAAATTTGGTGTCAAAATAGTTTATAAAAAAAAATTTAAAATAAAATAGTGTAGAGACATGACATTGTGATTGGGGCAATCTTAGCCCTCCATTCAAAATGGACGGTTGGATAAGGGGGAGGATAGAGCTTCTATGCTGTAGGGGAAGTATAAAAAGGTTTCCCTTTTGATTTAACGATGTATAATGCAAAGACATTGTTTGTTGTCATTTCTAATTTCTCACTCGAACCACTTTTTTGGAATTTCATAAAGTTTCGAGGTTTATTGGAATGTTTATCCTTTTTAGAACAGTCTTGTGTTGTGCACCCTCTTTTTAATGAACATTCGATAGGATTTTTTCCATCATGCAGTGTTTCAAAAATTGCGGGTTGGATCGGGATCGCCTGATCCAGCCTAGCAATTGTTGGGGACTTTCTTGGTTCCCACTGGTATCGGGAGCTAGGTTGTTCATTCTAAAACGGGTTCGTTATCTAACAGAACCAGCTGGTTCTATTAGAGAATGGGGCAATCCAGCCTAGAGCCCAATTCTTTTTTTTTTCTTTTCAATTTTTTTAAATCTTTTATTAGCTGATTTTCTCAACTGAATTGCCCCGCATTGGCTTCTGGCTAGTTCACCCAGCCGATCCAAATTTTTAAGCATTACATTGGAGGGATACAATGACTCAAAATGGGCCTTTTTCTTTGTATTAACACTCGTTTTATATGGGATCGTACACCATAATATTGTTTACCTTGGCACGAGA